ATCAGGTATTGCATGTTCGAGAAGGAAGGAGGAGGCGGAAGGGCAGGTACGCTCGGCATGTCGCACAAGATGGCGGCGGCTCCTTCAAGGCTCAGGCACTGACAGGATGGGCTCGCACACGTTGGCGGGCACCACGGCACCACGATGGCCGCGGGCTCGACGGGCGCGTTGGCGCGCACGTGCTCGCGGCTGGCGTGCAGCACCACCTGGTAGCGGTGGCGGAAGCGCAGGTCGCAGTGCTCGCACTGGAACACGGCGCGCGCGTGCCCCACATGTCGTGCAGGCCGAGGCTCGCCGCCGTGTGGTACGGGAAGGTGACGGCGTGCATGTGGCGGCACCACGGCAGGCGGCGGCGGCCGCGCGCCAGCAACGCGCCGGCGTGCTTGTCCCGCAGCCGCTGCACCTCCGGGGTGTTCTTGGGCCCGCGCGTCGTGGAGCGGCGCCGGCGACGCGCGCCGGACGACGCGGCGGCGGCGCGCGCGAGCGCAGCACCGTGCGCCGCCGCACGCGCCCGCGCGCACGCCCCGCAGCGCGCCGCGTGACCGCGACCGCCGCCGGCGCCTCCGCCGCACGCGCGCCGCGTCACCAGCCGCGCCGCCGCACGCGCACCGTCGGCGCGTCGTCCTCGGCGGCAGGCGGCGCGGCTGGCTCTGCTTGCGCCGCTTGCTGGACGAGCCGCCGTTGGCGACGGAGGGCGGGCCCCCGTGGTGGATGTCGGTGTGCGCGCAGCCGTCGCCCGTCAGCCCGCACAGGCCGCAGTGCAGGCAGCGCGGCGCGCCGTCCTGGTGCGCCGCGCCACGTGCTCGGCAGCACGTGCTCGCCGAGCCGGCTGAGAACGCAGCCGTCCGCCTTGCACAGCACCAGCGGGCCCGTGTGCTCGCGCATGTGCTCCATCATGGCCACCTGCGTGAACAGCTCCTTGAGCACACGCTTGCACGTGTAGGAGGTCTTGGCGTTGCGCTCGGACAGCGTGATGCGGCGCGGATGACGCGGCGCAGGCGCATGGTGCGCCGGCCGGCGTAGCTGTTGGCGCCGTACGAGCTGCCGGCGTAGCTGCTCCCGGCGCTGAAGCGTGGTAGGCCATGCCGGTGGATCTCCGAGCGAGTCGTCGTCGGCGAACTCGCAGCCGCAGCTGTGGACACGTAGGCGTGGGGTCGTCGGGCTCGTTCGTCCATGGCATGGGCGGCGCGCTCATGCTGTCGTCCTCCTCCTCGTCGCCGTTCGGGGTCCCGTCCACGTCCCCGTCCGCGTCGCCGTCCACGTCCGCGTCGTCGTCCTCCTCCTCGTCCGAGGCGTCGGAAGCTTCGAGGTAGTTGAAGAGGCGGGCGGCGCCGTAGGGCCGCGGCGAGCGCGGCGACGGCGCGGGGGTGCCGTAGCCGTCGTGCCCCGCGTGGCCGCGCGTGCCCGCTACGCCGTCCTGCGCCGCCGTGCCCGCCGTGGCCATAGTCCTCGTTCTTCACCAGCTCGTGCGAGAGTAGGCAACGTGGCTGCCACTGCCGCCGCGGCTGCCGCCGCCGCCTGCTGCCGCTGCGCTGATCCGCCTGCCGCCGTCGGAGCACCGTAGGAGAAGGAACCGCCAGAGCCCTGGTGCCTGCAAACGGGCAGGGACTTCATCAACCGATTAGTACACCTTCCGGCCGAGCGGGGCCGATGCGAGGCCGGGCCCGTGCGGCCCACCGCCGGGCGCGACCGGAGGCAGCGTCTCGTGCGGCGGCCCGCCGCCGCCACCCCGCCCTCGCCGCCCCCGCCGCCGCCGCCGCCACGCCCACCGCTCGGTCGCAACGGGGCGCCTAGAGCCCCTAGATACAGAGAGCAACGCATCCCACTGTTCCACCGGTCTCGCCATTTTATATCAAGTTGTAGGGAGAAATTGGAACTGTGCGGTATTCTGTGCGTTGAGAACCATGAATATAACTCAAACCAATATGAATATTCTTGAAAATCTCCATAAGGACACCAATTGTTACAATTGCTCCCTGGCGGGGCTACCGAGTGAGAGGGTATGAAATGGCGGCGGCTGCGCTGCTCTCTGTATCCAGGGCCTGTAGGTGCGCCCGTGTGCCAGCGCCGGCGGCCGGCGAGCGCGGCGCAGCGCGGTGCGGCGGCGCGCGCCGACCCGAACGACCACTCGGAGTCCGATACGGAATTTTGAAAACAACTTTTATTTTTATTTCTTTTTCTTTGACAACGCTAAGATCTCTTTCGAGAGTTTCGCATCTGTCTGCCTGTCCGCTCGGAGCCTCTCGACTCCGGGCAAATTTTGAGAAAATCCAGTGAGGGTCTCGAGCACTGTACACAGTCGTGTGTGTCAATAGTATAATCAAAATAAAATAAAAATTTAATCTTTGTTTTAAGGTGATTATGGCCGTTTTGAAGCAATTTCTTTTAAGAAATATTTCTCATTACTGGAAACACGATAAATCATCCAACAGATTCAGATATTTTTGTCACCGGCTATTAAAAGTTGTGAATTTTTTTCTAATGTATTCGTAAGCCGAGAAGGACAGTCCAATCGAGGACGCCCACACACGCGAGCTCTCCGAGGAAAGCGTGCGGGCCAGGAGGATGGTCTAGCCACAGCTTGCAATACGGGTGGGTCGCGCTTGTGCGTGCAGCACTACAGCTCCGCTGCCGGCCCGGGACGTACCGTTTTTTTAATACAACCGGCAAGCATCAAGCGGTGACAAATTATTCAAAATGTACTTAAAATTAAACAGGAGTATGTATCAAAAAATACAAAATTAAATTAAAATTTTAATGTAGACTAAACTATTTTCACATTTTAATAGAACAATAGGAATGGCGTTTTATGAACTTAAAGAAGTTATTACATTTTGTCAACGTGATAGAATCAATTTTTAAAAATATGCATCTGAATTCTAAAAGGACTGAAGATACAATACATTGAAATTTAATGTGAAGGAATGACACTCGATCGCCTTTTCAAGATTCTTATTTAATTGTATGTTAACAAGAAAGTTCATTGATTGAACATATTTCAGAAAAAAAAATACTAATTTTTTGTGGAGATTCTCATTTTAAACGTGATTGGAAAATCTTGTAATTCAAGTAATATGGGGTTATGACACTTATTAATTTCAAAGCTAAAATATATATATATATATATATATATATATATATATATATATATATATATATATATATATCAATTTTCAGCAGGAGCGTGGGCCGCCTGCCGCGATGGAGGTGGGTTCGGCCTAGCTCGGCCAAGACTGAGCGGATAGTTGGCTGGGCTGGGCCGAGCCGGTATGGGTGCAGTACAGACAGAATAGCAGCAAGAGCGAAGTCGTGAACAGAGTGAGCTGTTAGTGTGCAGGCTGGAGCCACAGCCCCGCGGACTCGTGACAGCCTCGTTCTCGCCGAGGAAGTGGAGGAACGGGAGCCAGGGAGAGGAATTTGCCAATCGATTATCAACAATTTGATATCGTAGGAATAAAATTATCGCTAATTACGCCGCACTGCATAGCAATTCTTATTTAAAGACTGGTAAGCACACGAAAGATTTATAATTCTCATAGATGTAAAACGTTCATTTCAAAATACGAAATTCAGAGTCGGAAACTGTTTTCATTTTTTTCCACCCTGGAAAATTTATCTAAAAAAATCAGAAAAAAAATATCCATTACCTTTCATTTCTTTTTAGAACACATTTTAGTTTTAGGAACTGAAATCGAAGTGAGTAAGGTATTCAGACAGAACGCATCCCTGACAATAAAAAATGTATGTCTATCACAAAACGTGTATCACATGTGATAGACATTCCTAAGTACATTTACCGACCATTTTTATACTTTTTATGAATTCGCGAAACATCTTCAAAAGTTTACCACAAGAAACACTCATTTTTTTAAATTATGCCTATGGTTGAATTTTAAAATAATATACATAGAGATATTATATTTTATCTTCAATTATTTTCTTGAGACGTTAAAAAAGTTCATATCCAGGTTCTTTCAATCACTGTTATCTTGTTAGCGAATCTCTCCGGACCAAAAAAGTATTTATTTTTTGACTAGCATATATTTAAAGATTAGCTAGAATTTATTATCATGCCTTATGAAAAACATTTTTTAATTAAGAAGATTATTTTTATCATAATCAAAATCGTTCAAAAGACGCTTAACAAATTACGGAAGGCACGATTCGATGTCACAACTGAGGGCCGAGAACAGAGACTATCTGGGGTCGAATGTGACTTCGACCATTTGGTCGCGGAGTAGCCGCAACGAGAGACGATAGTTCCTCGCCCTCCCCCACTCTAGATCCCTGCTATCGACTTCCCTCGGATTTCATCCCCAGAGCGACTTTTCGCAGGCCGGCAACCCCGTCGGCACCATCTACGCATGAAATCGCATCTCCTATCGATTTTCGGATGACAAGTCCGTTACTCCCCGCTTCTCTTCAACCCTATCCCACACCTCTCTCCCTCCCAGTTAGCTGGGCATGTGGTCTCCACCACCTAATAGCGCCGTGTCGGACCCTGCCACTGCGCGAGGAAAGCGTGGGTGGCCATCAAACTATGTGGTTCGTACACTGGAAACTATCGATTGCTTTCGTATAATCGACCGGGGAGAAGTGGCTCAGGCCATCAACTAATACAGACGCGGTGCCTCTGACCGGGAAGGTCCTAGATTCGAGACCCGACGGTGGCAGGATTTTCGACACCATTGAGATAGGTCGAATTTAGTCGCTGTCTGGAGGAAAATTCTAACGTCCGACTGCTGTCATCGGTAGTTTTCCATGGTTTATCCCATCAATGCCTGAGCAGTATACTGGCAAACGGGCCACAGACCGCGCGCGGTGTTTCCTTCCCCTTTTTTGTCCTATTCTCACCCCTTAATCTACACACTTACGTGCCCTTCACTAACACATGCCGAGCAACTGGTCGAGAGCGCAGAGCTTGTACAGGCTTGGGCGGTGACCCGCTGGTGCGAGATACCTGGTTGGGGAAAATCCCGCTAGCCGACGGGAAGGTCGGCGCAGGATCTCACCATCGAGCGGGGGAAGATCACAGCAACATCCCAACAAAAATGCACTACACTTTCGGGAACGAAGACCTGAGCTGTTGACGCGCTCGAAACCACTAATCAATCAATTAATCGAAATTAGGGATGCTGCGTATTCTCTATTTGATCTATGGTCATGTGCCATCTTTGATTGTACCATTGATGATTTTTGTATTCTGCAACCGGAATGACTTTCAAATAAATATTCAAAATAAAAGAATATTTCCAATATTCTTGGGAAGTTTTACTAAACAAAGACCAATAACTAACTTAGGAGTGTTACTTTATGTACTTAATGATTGATAGTCGAAGAAATGTCGCCACGTAAAATACGTCGAAGAAGTCTCGCCACGTAAAATAAGGCATATTCAATTCAATTCAATTCAAAAATGTCATTGGTCTTACAATTCGACAATTAAAAATATCAACTGACGGATGATCATCACAATTCTCGAATGAAAGAATTTGTATTATCTCCAGCCTTAATCGTAGAGTCAGAAATGCACACTCATCATATAATTTCACCGCATCAGTCTTCTATTTCAAGACATATTGCTATTTAAGTTATAATAATCGAATATCCAAAGAACGGATAGTAAGAAAGAGATGAAATTGAAAAATTCATACATTTCATTTTAGGGTAGGTACCTATAATGTATTGTGTAAGGCGTTATGTTAACAAAAAATGAAGTAATTAGCACAATTCACGCCCGGGCTTTCTTCATATCCCATCCTTGTGAGAGAGGAAAATATCGATTTTATATTAAAAACAGCGTTTAGAGTTGTTTTTAATGTAATTGGTTCAAATTTTAATAAAAACTGATTTTCTTTAAGTTTATTTTAGAGTACACTGCTATTGTACATTGCTAAACCGAATATTTCTATCCGTTCGTCGAATCTAACGTTATGTTGTATTCAAGTGAAAAATATGCATTGGAAACATGTAGAAAAACACAATTGTTAAATGACTGAACCTTTCATTTCCTTGAATTTGGCATTACAAAAGAAATTGATTCGAGTTGTGTGCTTTCGTAAGTTTAGAACTATTTACTGAATACTATTGCAGGTAAAATATAGTAAGTATTTGCATTTTACCGGCACGAAAAATGATCATGTTAGAAACGGGTTTCCAGAATTATACTGTAAAAAGTTTCCGTCGGTTGAGTTCTGAAAGAGTCCTGTTGGTGAAGTCCCCTCCATAGAAAATTCCGGCTGCGACAGTGCTCCGAAGGAAAAAAAAAATTAAACAAATTAAGCTGCACACTTGTTTCTTTTTTCGCAATACTGTACTGTTATATCAACTTGTCGCAACCAAAGAAACAAAAAGTCACTCTTAACACCACGTCCGTTAAGTAATTTTGTAGTAATAGAAACAAACGAGTTATAACCGAAAACGGCATAGGAGTACTATTCAAAGGAATACTTTTCTTACTTTATAGATTTTTTCATAGGAAGGTGATATAACGAAAATATTGAACGTATAATGGCTGATCTCACAAACAACGTACAAGTTGGTGTTAGTGTGGGGTATCTCCTTAGCGAAAGAACTTCAACCGTAAACTTT